CAATTTGTGGTTTCGTGCTGTGTTAACCATTTCAGACGAGATGGGTCACACAAAGAGAAATCGATGACTTATTATTCGTCGAGTCTTTCTTACAAACATAACTTAGCTTGGCGTAATCTAAAACAAGGCAGCCTTAAAGAGCCAACAACTAAAAGGAATGCTAACCTTCCGAACTCCTTGCCTCTAAAATCCAACACGAGAAAAAGACGAAAATGCCTGTCCAATTCACGAAAATGGAAGGCCTGGTACTGAAAACGTCCAGTTACACTAATTTCCTCTCGTCGGCGTTTGACCTTGAAAGGCAACGGGAAACTGTAAATATTAATTTGCAAGTGTTGTATTTTATGATTTGTTGCAATTGCTTCTAAGAAATAATGGGAGGCCGATTAATCCTGCATCTAAATACCACTGATATCAAAGACACCTGCTTAGAAGGTTAGATAATTTGTTGTTTAAGGGATGTTTTGACCGTATATCTTTTGTTGTTGTTTTGTTTTTCATGCCAGTGATTGAAAACAATTATGAAGAGGTAAAAAATGTTCATATCATTTCCACTAGCAAAAATGAAGAGAAAAAAAAAAAAAAAGCCGAAAAAACCTGATTTGTGATTTGCTTTGTTCAAGTGAACCTTCACGGCATTAATTTATGAATGAAGTCTAATTTATGTGGTCATCAAGTAATTTAAAAACACAGTGCGTTCCAGGATCAGTTACTTAACATAGGAATTCAACTACTCAACTCAATGTTCCTAGCTGAGTTTCATGATAAGCTTTTCATGGTTTTCATAAAATGTTAAAAAAGATCGATCCACATTGAAATGTAAAAACAAAAAAACAAAAATCCGAAAGCTTGTGAGATTAAGAAGAGGAAATAAGGTAAGGACCATGCGAAATAGATAAAACGTAAAGATTATGGGTCAAACGCTCAATGCTGATTAATTTGCAAAGAGGCAGCATGGAGTCGCGCGAAGTATTTGTTTTGATGTTTGTCAAAATATTACATACTGACTTAAAGGCCTACATAAAAACAGCGACTCTGACTTAGCCTCGATCACAACCCTTAAAAGAGTTTTGTATTACGGCCTGCTACCAAGGCGACTTTCAAAACTGTTCTACTCGCCAATAAAGATGTAAGAGCCTAAAGACTGAGCAAACCATCAGTAGCACACATAAATCATTTAGTAGTTTATTATTATTTCACTCTAATGAATACTAGAAACTGATTGAATAGTACAGGAAAACAAATCACGAAAGTGTTAAAATTGACAAAAATTTTTTTGTGGTTATTATTTTCAAGAGACAATCGAGTTGCCATAGAAATATGAAAACCTGATGACTGCTTTCAGGGCCTTTTAACCTAAGGGTAAAGAGTTTAAAACGTAACGTAGCTAAAAAAAAACTAATAAGAAGCAATTCTTCCATTCGCTCATTTGTTCGTTTGTTCATCCATTCATTCCTTCTTTTTTGGTTCGCTTGTTCGTACCTTCGTTCGTTTGCTCACTGATTAGTTATTCACTACTTCATCTTTTCCCCTCTTCTTTTATTCTGTCAGTAACTTTCATAGCATAGTTCCATGTAGCAAAGCCCCACTATTAAACCCGGTGTACGCAAGTATGCATCACATATGTAATTTAATGTTCCGCTCACACGAAAAATTTTAGTTCTACAATAATCAAGGTTTCCTTGATATTTTGACCAAATGGTGTATACCAGATAGAGGCCATTTCTCGTCAAAGTTAAAAGTTGTTTTTCCCTCGCCAAGAGACACAAATTGCGGCTACACAAATACGTTAGCTAAAAAAACTACAAACAAAACTTCAAGAAACTTATTATACGATTTTAAAGTATAAGAGTGAAATAATATTTGTGCTAAGCTTCGTTAATTTTCATAGAATTGTTCTTACGCCCCGCTGTTTTCGTAAAGAAGCGTGAAACTTTGAACATTTTAAGCCTCGAAAACTGCCTTTATGTGCAAATTTCAAACTTTTTTTAAATGTTGCCTGTAAAAACAATCAATGGAACTTAAAACTATTTTCCTTAAACACATTCACTCAAAGGTATGTTTTGGCGAAGTAAACGAAACAAACAAAATCGTTTTTTTCGTCACCATCTTTCGATTCTCGACATTCTAAGAAAATAACTCTTAAGTCAGACTGGAGTCCCCATAACATAACCCGTTAGACATATTATTTTCTTAAGTAGCAACAAGAACAAAACTTCTTTGTTTCCACTAAGAGACTATGATCATAGTCTCTTCAGTCTCTTGATTTCCGCCCATTGTTACGTCACATTTTTACCGACATGCGACCATAATACAGACAGCCTGTGTCAGCACATCGTCGAACAGAGAACACCCCAAGAAATCCACACACCCTTCCTTTGCACGATCAGTGGCGAGATTTCTCGTTGGCAGATTCGGAGTTAGGTTTCAACGGGTAGCTGCGTGAACGAATGATCCAGAACATTGGATATATTACTCTAAACCACACGTTTATCGGTTGGATCGGTTTTCTCTAACAGCTTGTCATCATAACTCACAAAACGATGATTTCAACATGGAACAAATTTAGTTACCTGGCGTGATGCTTTCCGATAGATGGTGATTCCTACAATGCATTATTATAACTTATTTATAACTGTTTTTTGTTTGTTTGTTTGTTTGTTTGTTTGTTTGTTTTCTTTTATCGAGATCATTTCACTTTTAATCACTAACAATACAGATTGATGATGTAAAGACCACAACGAGACAGGAAAGACAGGTGGTGTGTAAAGCAATGTCACTGAACCAATATGTATCCCATGACTTTGATGTGCTTGTCTCCATTATCTGGTGCGGCTCGCGCATTAATGCCACACGTGTTGGTGTCATCAGGGTTCCCACCTGAACCAAACCCGATTCTGGAGTCACAGCTTACGCACTCAGGTTCGTTGTTACCAATGATACCGATTCTCGCCTTAGGAAAATTCTGTGAGTCGCTCTCTACGTTGAACCCTTCTCTGTTACAGTTGGGCTGCAAGGAGCCTTGGGAACCAAGCAGACTCTTCCACGTGTCACGGCCCACTGATGTGGGGCGGAATTGCCCGTCAGCTATCAGTGAGTGCAGTGACTCAGCGCTCTGGTCGAGAGTGATAAAATTCGTTCTTTCCTCGCCAGGGATCTTCATGCCGAGACAGATCTTGGAAAATGGTTTGCTCCAGTAGGTTGGTAGCTTGGTCTCCTGTGTGTCAAAACCAGTTTCACCCGCTGCTGGGTTGAATGCCTCTTGGTTGCTCCAAAAATTGGAATCATAGTGGAAGGTTTGCTAAAAAAAAAAAAAAAGTCAGTATTCTCCAGAATATCTAAGGGGAAAGAAATGAATTTATTTGCATACAAATAAAAGTTTTTATGTCACCTCCTCGTTTATACATTTAATTTGTATCGGGTGTTGACATGACATGTGTAGGTCATTCAAGGGTAAAGGTGGGTAGATTGCTGCGTTCGTATTACCGTCATTTGATACCTTAGACAATACCTTGGAGTTGTGCAAGAATCACGAG